GCGATAGTGTCATGCCTGCCCCTGCTGATGCCATGCCTGCCCTTGCTGATGCCCCTGAGGAGGCACCTGCCAGCCAGGAGCCTGTGGACTTACAGGCTCCTGAGGACAGTACTGCAGCAGAAAGGCAAAGACTGGATCCTGTAGCTGAAAGCTATCTAAGTGGTGAGGAGGATAGAGCCTCCCAGGGAACACCTGCAAGGGATCAGTCTCTGCTGCAGCCCAGTAGTTCATCAGACTCGCCCCCACCTGTAACCAGGCTCCGGAATGTAAGGAGACAGCAGCTGAGAGAGCGAAGGCAGAATGCACGCATGCGTGCCAGAAGATCTCTCAGCCCTGACTATTGACAGGATCCTGACCTTGCTCCCGGCTAGCTAATGAGTTGATTAGCTAGCACTGTATATCTGCAAGTCTGTTGCCAGCAGTCATTTGTGCTGGCAAATGTTGTTTGTCAGGACCTGAATCCTTGCATCTCTGCTCCAGACCTTGTGGAATTCTTATCGGCTTGATCCTCGGCTTTTGACCCTCGGCTTCGTTGACCTTCGTTCATCTCTGACTCCTCTGGTATCGTGATTTATGGACTTGAAACCTTGGTATGTCTGACCCTGCTTCTGGACTGTGATTTAAACCTGTTTGAACCTTGCTACCTGATTTGCTCGGCTTGACCTCGGACTGTTCCTGGACTTTGGCTTACTTACGTCACGCCCCCTGGTCCTGCCGTGACAGTGTGTGTGTGTGCTTGTGTGTGTTAAATGCTGTCAAGTTGCTTCCAACTTATGGCAAATTTATGAATTAATAACCTCCGGAATGTCCAGGCTTGCTTAGGACTTGCAAACTGAGGCCTGTGGCTTTCTTCATTAAGTCAGTCCATCTCATCTTTGGTCTTCCTTGTTCCCCGCTGCCTTTCACTTTCTCTAGTGTTATTGTCTTTTTCAGTGACTCTTGTCTTTTTGTTACCAAAATAGGATAACCTCAGTTTGGACATTTTAGCTTCCAGGGACAGTTCAGACTTCATTTGATCTAGAACCCACTTATTTTTCTTTTTGGCAGTCCACAGTATCTACAAAATTCTCCTCCAGCACCACATTTCAAATGAATTAACTTTCTTGTCTTCTTTCTTCTTTGTCCAATTTTCACATCCATAAATAGTAATGGGGAGTACTATAGAATGAATTATCTTGATCACCAGCAACACATCCTTACACTTAAAGATCTTTTCTAGTTCCTTCATGGCTGCCCTTCCCAATCTTAATCTCCTGCTAATTTCTTGGTTGTAGTCTCCCTTTTGGTTGATGATGAAGGAATAGAGAATCTTGAACAATTTCAGTTTCCATCATCAGCCTTAAAGTTGTTTCATTCCCCAGTAGTCACTCAGTACTTTTATCTCCTTGATGTACAGCTGTAATGCTGCTGTGGTGCTTTTTGCTTTAACCTTCATCCGTAGTTGTTTCAGGTCTTTCCTATTTGTGCCAGTTAATGTGATGTCATCTGCATATCTCAAATTGTTACTGTTCCTTTCACCAGTTTTCACTTTACCTTCATCTAAACCTAATGCAGCTTTTCTGATAATGTTCTGCATCTAGAGAGATGGGGAGATAAAATACATCTTTGTCAGGTCCCTTTGCCAATTGGAAGCTATTCTGTCACCTGTGATTATCAGCACATCTTGTTTCGGTGTGTGATCTATTTCTCCTGGACACCTGTAGAAAAGCTTTCAATTTCTTTTCAGCATATGTAGTTGGGAGTGATCACCTTGCCAACAAAAGTCTGTATGGTCAAAGCAATGGTATTCCCAGTAGTTAGGTATGGCTATGAGAGTTGGACTATAAGGAAGGCCGAGTGCCAAAGAATAGATTCTTTTGAATTATGGTGCTGGAGAAGACTCTTGAGAGTCCCTTGGACTGCAAGGAGATCAAATCAGTCAATCCTAAAAGAAATCAACCCTGACTGTTCCCTGGAAGGTCAGATACTGAAGTTGAAGCTCAAATACTTTGGCCACCCAATGAGAAGAGAGCACTCACTGGAGAAGACCCTGGTGCTGGGAAAGATTGAAGGTCAAAGAAGAAGGGGACGGCAAAGGATGAGATTGTTAGACAGTGTTATCGATGCAACGAACACGAAATTAAGCAAACTCCGGAGCACAACGGAAGACAGGATGGCCTGGTGTAATGGGGTCGCAAAGAGTCCAACTCGACTGTGCGACTGAACAACAGGAAGTTGGGATTGAAACTGAATAATAGTTATGTCAATAGGCTTTCCATGAAGTTCGATATTATTTGGTCAGACTTTGCATTGTAGCCACTGGCCACTTGTGCTACATCTCGCTTCACTATTAGAACTTCTGTGTTTTGTCATTTCTTGAGTAAAACACTTTGTAATTTTCTGAGAGAGAATGTCCTAATCAAGTCCACTTTGGTTTATTGCAGTATTTAAATGATCAATTTCTGGTTTTATGATCTTGAGCTTACCTTGAGTCATACTTCTCACGTTTCAGGTTCCAGGTTCCTATTATATATGTCAAAGAGCTTTTGACTTTCATTTTGCAGCCATTCACATTAACAACTGAACATCCTTTTGGCTTTAATCCAGCTGTGTCATTAAGAATAACACTACTCATCCTCCGTTCTTCCACAGTCTCTGATTGAGTGCTATTTCCCCCCCCCCCCCCCCCTGTGGGGTTATCTCATAGCATTTTCAAGGTATGATATGACTAGAAGTGGTTTACCATTACCACCTTCTGCACTGTACTAACCATTGTTAGCTGAAGTGGCATTGCTGTTGGCTGTGAAAGACTTTCTGCCAGTGGCAGCTTCCACTGATGCTGCTGCCGCCCAGTAGCTGCCCTTCAAGGATTCCTCTGCCCTCATCCCCATTGAAACTGTTCATTCTCTTGCTGATGTGGCTGTTGATTCCTGAAGGGCGTGGCAGCATCTTAGTCTTTTTGAGCCAGCAGGCAAATTTGGAATTCTGACACAGCACAGTGAGCACAGCAACAAAATGGCTGCTGCAGGAGGCGGAGCCAGCCAGAAAATGGCTGCCAGAAAATGGCTGCCAGTGCTTCGCCAGTAACTTCAATAGCTCAGTGCAGGATCCTTGTGCTGTGGTGGCAGCTGGTGCTGAAGCAACATTAAAAACATCTGTACAGCTAATCAGAAGCCTTGCTGAATAAAAGTCCTATGCAGCCCCACCCACTTTATAAACACTTGGCAAGCAACAGAAAAGGGTGTCGGCATGCACTGTGGTTCTCATGGTGTCTCGGTTGTGACCTTTCCACCATGAGAGAGACTGCTGGGAGTTTAGCCTCTTGACAGCGTCTAAACTTGTTAACCGTATTGCCATCAGCTTCATTGACGCATGCAAAACCACCTGTATGTCCAAGAGGGGGAAAGAGCAAAAAGGAAAGAGTTTCATAGGACTGTTTTTAATAAAATTTCCATTTTTTCCAGGCCTTCACATAATGCTAGGCTCAGTCTGGACTAGATAGCTGCAGGATATTGCAGAGGAGGGTGGGTTTGTTTTTTTTTTGATAAATTAGTTCAGCACTTAAACTCCATGGAAAACAGTCAGAATGGACATCTGCTTAAACTGGACTGGAAGGAATCCACAAACTCTAAAAAAGAAAGAAAGAAAGAAAATTTCTTGAATGAACTTTAGCTATAGAAATTTTTGATTTGTATAACTTATTTTAATTGGGTTCTAGTTTTGGTCAAGTTGTTCCAAAGTCCTTTTTGCAGCTTTGATCAGAAACCTGTTTGCTAGTCAGATAGCAAAATTAGTAGTAGCTGTTGTTTTGCTTCTTCAAAAAAAATTTTTTTTTTTACTATTCCTCTTTCATTTTTGCCACTTTCTGATGGTTTTCCTTACTGTCCTTTTAAATTCCATTTGAATTTCTGGTTTTTCTTTTAAAATACCTTATTCTTTGACCATAGCATTGTGCCTGTGAAAGAGCGCTCTTTAGCTACATCCACACTTTGGTTAAGCATACCAAGTCCTTTCCCTGGGCTGTTTTGGTGAAGAGCTATCAAATGCTCAATTTTTTTCTCCATCTTTAGGAATATAGTAAAAAGAGGCCCAGAGTATCTGACACTGTAAATGGTGGCAGTATTTTTAATTTTATTTTAAGCTTCTGGGTGCTTTGTTGGGTCTCTCGGCTGATAGTGTAGGAATGTGGGCTGGGATTTCTCTTCGAGAAAAATGACAATACCACATGTAGCTTTTGAATGAATAAAAACTAATAAAAGCATTACTTCTCCAGGTAGCATTGCAAGAGAAAATGAAAAATTACTTCCCCTTCTTTGTAATTTAACTGGGCTTTTCCTCTTTTGGTAGTTTGGGCTTTTAAATAATGAAATTACATGAAATTTCAATGTTTCATTCCACAGATTGTCAAGAAGGAAGGTGTAGGAACAGAATCTCCCATGATAGGTGATAAAGTGACAGTCCACTATACTGGTTGGCTTCTGGACAGCACACAGTTTGACTCAAGCCGGGACAGAAAGGACAAGTTCTCGTTTGATTTTGGAAAAGGTAATGTGTTCTGTTTCTGGTACGCAATAGTGTTTGGTTCAGAAATACTTATTACATATTAAACAATAGCCTCTTTCATAACCTGCAGCGCGGTTGCTGCTTGTGCCAAACTTCCGTAGACTCTGGCTATTCTGATAGCTGTCTTTAATATTGAACTGCTATCATATAGTCTGTGAACTGCTGTATTGGGTATTTTCAGTATAACTGTAAAAGTATATTTGCTTAACCCTTTCCTCGTTATCTTTCCCCCCTCATTCATATCCTCCCCAACACAGATGTACATTGACCGACATGAAAACAAATCTAGAATTCTGGGAGAGGAAGAGCATTTGGAGAGGGGAGAGGAATGCTGCCATTTGAAGCAGGGAACACCTCCCCCTCCCCCAGCAGTATAAAATAAATATCACAGTCTAACAATCGATAAAACAATTGATAAAACAATATTTATTTTATTTATTAATTCCATTTCTACCCCCCTCCCAAATGGGCTAAAAAGCCCCTGAAGATCAGTTACCATAATTCTTAGGTAGCAATCAAGGGATGTAAGTAGACACACTATAACCACCTCATGGCCAAAGCCTAGGGTAAATAGAATACCTTGTGTACGGGCAGATGTGAGGAGAGGGAGTTCTTAAATAACATGCTACAATATAAAAGGCCCTATAGCATCTTGCCTTACCTAGAGATTAAAAATTGTGGAAATTTTTGAAGCCATGAGGGAAAAGGTTTTCCCCCAGTTTCACGGGCGAAAATGAGATACATGTAATACTTACTTTACTGTTGAACTAAAATTTATTATACTGATAAAATGCATCATTTATAATTTAGCATGTCATGTATAATATTTATAATTTAGCATATCAAATTGCACTGTTTGGCACATTTATGAATTTTCTATAAGAGAAATTGCAAATATATTTTCAGAGAATTGCAAACAGTTGCTGCTGTAGTGCACATATTTTAGTTTTTGCCATCTGAGAGGTAGGAAAAAATACCTAAAGGTGGAAAACGTAATAGAATCAGTTGAAACACAGCACCATGCAGGATGACTTAAAGCAGGGGTGTCAAACATGCGGGCTTCTATCAGGCCCGCAGGGGAACTGGCCATCTGCTTCCAGTTCTGCTGCTGCATCATAGCTTGCTTTGCCAGGCACTCTCAAACGCTCAGACATTTCATGTTTTAACCTGGGTCCTAGACTCAGAACTCTGAGCATGAGATTTCTGTGGTGAATGTCAATAAATCAAAAGTAGGTTTGCAGCCTACGCATATACACTTGAACAGCGTACTCAAGATTGCAGCAGCACAGACATTTTGATACAATAATTCAGAGCAAGAGGTGTCAGCTATCAGATGCTGTTAAATAAACAAAATATTGCAAGAGTGCTAATGTTTTTAGCATATTTTTATTTTAAGTAAAAAAGAATCTTTGTGTTTGTGTCCTTTAAAGTCTGTATTTCCACTACCTGGCATTACATTTTATGACACACATGGCCCAGCCCTCGTAACAAATGAGTTCGACACCCCTGACTTAAAGCCTCCCTGACAGATAATCATCTAATCTCTGCTTAAAAGCTCTAAGGAGCGAGAACCCACAACATCCCTGGGCAACCGATTCCAACACTGAACTGCCCTTATTGTTAAAAAAGTTTTTCCTAATCTGCTGCTGATATCAACTCACCCATAATTTAAACCTATTATTACAAGTCTTATACTCCACTACCTGCTGAAATAGCGCTCTGCCTTCTTGTAAATTATAGCCCTTCAAATACTTAAAAGAGTAATCATATCCCCCTCAATCTCCTCTTCTCCAGGTTAAACGTTCCCAGTTCCTGCAACCTTTCTTCATAAGGCTTAGTCTCCAAACCCCTAATCATCCTTGTTACTCTCCTCTGGTTCTACTCTATAAAGTTTCTATGTCCTTTCTGTAAAAAGGCCTCCAGAACTGGACACAGTACTTGAGATGGGGTCTGACCAGTGCATCTTCTCTCCTAGATGCGATGCATATGTTGGTACACCCTCAGATCAAATTTGTCTTCTTTGCTGCTGTATTACACTCATACTGTATTACTCATACTCAGTTTGCAGTCCACCAAAACCTCAAGATCCTGTTCACACAAACTATTCCCCAAAAGAGTATCCCCCATCTGGTATGCATACATAACACTTTTACTACCAGATATACCCAGATGCAAAACCTTACATTTATTTCTTATTACGTACATTGAATTTTGTTTGCATCTGCCCATTTTTCCAGTGTATCCAAGTCTGATTATATTTTATCTCTATCTTCCGGAGTGTTCATTATCCCACCAAATTTTGATGTCGTCTGAGAATTTAAAGAGTAGTCCTTTCACATCCTCATCTGAATTATTGATGAGAACATTAAAAAGCTCTGTGCCCCAAAACTAAGCCCTGTGGCACCACACTAGATACTGCTGTCCAATCAGACAAGGAGCAATTGACTACCACTTCGGGTGTGATTATCTGACCCCAGTGCTTTCTTATCAAATGCCTTATTAAAACCCAAATATACATTATCCATGACATCCCCACAGTCTACCAAACCTGTCACATGATTTTAAAAAAAGGAAATGAGACTAGTCTAGCAAGATCTATTAAGGACAAATTCATGCTGATGACTTCTTATCACCAAATTATCTAGAGGTTTACAAATCAGCCCTTTTAAAATCTCCAAGAGTTGGATTTGACTAGCTTTCGAGCAAGGGAACCTTTACCTTACATTAAAACAATCCAATAAATAACAATAAGTAAAAACAATCATAAACAGTACTTAAGATGGTGGAAAGTCCTGACTCCCTAGTCTCCCTGAAGGGAGGGGCTATGAGGAATGAGGAACCACATGCCAGTGCCAGAAGAAGTCCCATTGCTGTCATCAGCTGAAAGCCCGGCGGAACATCTCTGCCTTACATGCCCTGCGGAAAGGCAGCAGTTCCTACAGGGCATGGATGTCTTCTGGCAGAGCGTTCCACCAGGCAGGGGCCAGGGCTGAAAAGGACAGCCGGACCTCTCTCGGGCCGGGGACCACGAGCAAGTTCTTATTTCCTTGAGCCTGAACCGGTGCTCCACTGGAAGCCAATGCAGGAGTCCCTGTAAGGAACCGTGCAGCTGCATTTTGGACCATTTGAAGCTTCTGGGTCAGGCGCAGGGGCAGTCCCGCATAGAGCGAATTACAGTAGTCCAGCCTGGAGGTAACCATTGCATGGAATTACTGTGGCTAGGTCAGGGCGAGACAGGTAGGGAGCCAGCTGCCTGACCTGGTGGAGTTGGGAAAGTGCCAGGTTGGCAACCTTCGCAACCTGGGCTTCCATAGACAAGGAAGAATCCAGAGTCACGCCCAGGCTCCTGATGGTCTGTGCCGGTGCTAGAGGCACACCCTCGAGTCGGGAGCTGGCAACCCAATCGAAACTTCCCCCTATACAGCTACAGAACCTCTTTTTCCTGGATTCAGATTCAGTCGACTCAGTTTTAAGCATCTCACCACAGCCTCCAAATCCTTGGCAAGATTCCTTGGGATGGTATCTGGCTTGTCACCCATCAACAGGCATAGCTGGGTGTCGTCAATGTATTGATGGCATCCCAGCTCGAAACTCCGCACTATATTTTGATTGCTTAGTGTGATTGTATGCAGGGATATTTTCGAATAAATCTATCAAATACTCTTTAAATCTGTAGTCTTCATACTGAACTAGACCTTGGTATATATAAGTGTGCGATCCCTTGTACCCTTCTGGCCTCCTCTGTCTCACAGCTAATTTCCCCCAATATCGAGACAGGCCACTTGTGGTAACACATGATAGAGTAGTTGTTCCCTCTGTAATCCATAAACTAGGAAAAGTAACGCTCTGTTATCATAAAGTCTGGAAATTCTGTTAGATGAACTAGTTGCCTAGGTTTCACAATCTGCAATTTGACAGACAGAAGTAGGCAATCTGATGAAACTTGAGACAATGTTGAAATATGGTCAGTTTATAACAATTTAGAAATATTTCTTTGGACAAGAGGCTGTTGGTGTTTATTACATTTTAATCTTTGCTCATAGATAAATACCTTGAATATCCTCCCTTTTCTGGTTTCAGCTGCCTAAAGAAAATCTGAAATTGCAGTTTTCCTGACCTTACCATCAGATCTGGAAACCATGACCTCCTGATCTATTATGGTGAATTGCTTCTGCTTTTAGTTGTCTGATCTTTCTTGGAACTTAAATCAAATACCAGGTCTCATGTTCAGTCTTGAACTAGGACATCTATCCCTTCTTGCCTTCATGGACTAAAACCAAGCCATGATTCTTTGCATCCGTCTGTTTTCTGCCATTGGAACCAGTCCATGAGAGGCATGCTAAAGTGCTGTGCCCCCATTCAGAAAATGTAGGACGACGAAGTCCATTCTACCTCCTTTATGACTTTGCTGCCCAGCCAGTACTAGAGTGTGTTGGAGATCCCGGCCACGTGTTCCACTGTGAAGGTGTGTCAGGATATAAGAGGGATCTTTGACGTGGTCTCTATGTTTCACACCCATGGGATACAGTGCGCCTGCGCTGGATCAATCGGTATTGTAGCAAGCTCTAATGGATTTTCACAGGACGTCATCGTGGACTCCATTTTCACCCACGCCCAGCTGGGGGGAGTGGTCACCACACGCAGACAAGCTGCGAACACGCCCTGCGACTCGTCTCAGCCTCCACCCCTCGCAGCTGACCAGCCCAGCTCCCCTCCCACAACCGCCCTCAAGACGCCCATGCTGAACTCATTGCGGGAGGGGTTTTCGCTACTTCTTCGTTTTTTCTTTAAAAAGAAGACTATTTAGTTTTGAGGGGAAAGTTTTTCGTCTTACCTCAATTTGGCCTTCGGGGAGCCCCCCTCACCTCTTTTTCTTCTCCATTTTATTTTATGGAGAAAAGGAGGGGTTTTTTTCAAACGTTGTAAGGGGTGCGGCAGTAAGCTCACTCCGGATGGCCACACTCTTTGTATTTTTTGTCTTGGTGAGAGGCACCGACCGGAGTCCTGCAGGTATTGTGCCAAGTTGGGGGACCTCCGGGACTGTTGCAACTCCTCCCGACCCCCTCCAAACCGTGGGAGGTCATTTCCATGGATTTTATCACAGATCTACCACCGAGTAAAAAGATCCAGAAGTACCAGTGATACCATCAACATCAATGGCTCTGGCTTCGAAATCCTCGTCCAACATCGTCCAGTCGATATCGAAACGTCCGGTACTGACGGCGCAGTCTTCCGCATCCACTCCCGTGAAAAAGAAAAAGGAGAAATCGGGTAAAGAGCACAAGTCCGCCAAAAAGGGTTCCTCTAAGGCCCTAAAGGCGTTGAAGGCGGGAAAAGTCGCGGGTCCTGCACCGGGGTAATGCCCCTAAGGTGCCCCCCATTACAACGACAGTATCGGCTTCGGAAGCTCCAGTCGCTCCACCGATATTGACCATCCAGCTGATGGACTCTCCAATACACCAGCTAGACCACGACACGCTGGTCGACATGCGTCCTTTCTCCGACATCGATAATGTCGAGATCCTCAGTCGTTCCCTGGGCACGGATCATTCTCCCTCTGCTCAGTCATCGACGTCGACAGTCTTGGAGTTCCGCACCGATATCGATGCAGGTCGGCATTGACAGATCCCTCCAAACACGCTTGGCTGTTATTGTGCGAAACATTAAATACAGCTAAAGCTGCATATAAGAAACAGGCCGATAGAGGTATGGTGGCGGGTTGGGCTCTGCGGCCTGGAGATTATGTATATGTGTCCACTAAGAACATCAAGATGCTGCGACCGAGTCGAAAACTGGGATGGAAATTCATTGGTCCGTTTAAAGTACGTAGGGTGATCAACGAGGTGGCTGTGGATGTTAAACTTCCAAAGAATCTAAAATCTCTGCATTCTGTGTTTCATTTCAGCCATGGTGGACTCCAGCAGGTTACTTGGATTGGGATCGTTACTCTGCTCACAGATCACGGTCACCCCGTAGATCGAGGCTGACACCATCAGCGTCTCTTTCCCGGCCTCCAGATCATGCATCTGAAAATCCTCCTCGACATCGACCAGATCAACATCGTCCTCCCAGTCCCCCTATCCCACCATCAACGGATCCAACCAGTCAGATCAAAACCACTCCAGTACAATTACCAGAGCCCGATTCCTCTGACTCTGCAGATTAGGATTCGGATACGGGGGTTTCAGATGTACCAGCCTTCCCCGAACCAGGCAGTAGCCGATGACCAACCTATATCTCCATCTGAAAACTTAACTTCCTACGGAGACCTTGTTAAAAGAATGGCCCACTCCCTTGGCCTTTCCGTCGTACAACCACAACCACAGGTTACAGATGCTGTTTTCGATGTGGTGCAACTAGATACATCGACGGCTATAGCACTACCCATGTCCATGGTCCTGTTACAGGCAGCTAAAGCACCATGGGATAAACCATC